ATATATACATACACATAGCCAATTATACCCCAGGTATCGACAGCGTATTGTGCCAGATGAGGATATACCTACATATTCATGTAAATTGTATATACAAACACATAGCCAATCACACTCCGGGTATCGACAGCGTATTGTGCCAGATGAGGATATACCTACATATTCATGTCAATTGTATATACTAACATATAGCCAATCATACCCCATGTATCGACAGCGTATTGTGCCAGATGAGGTTCCGGGTCCGATATTTGGGCCTGGACCTGTCTGTCTTCTGATCGCAAAATAGCCACCGCTATGCCGCTGGAGGGGCCTGTGTGGCACGAAGGTGTCTATCACTGTGTACATTCACATACTCATCATGTTCACGTGTCAATCTGCGTCGCGTATGATATCCAAGTTATATATCTAAGGATTGTTTTGATCTTGTAACAACGCAAAAAAAAAATCCGGTAAATCGTGCAGCCAAAAATCCTCAACGAGGAAGCGCCCCCACATAACAGTAGAAGCATCTCGATTGAAACATTTGTCACTAATCTTAAACTAGTACTTCCCAAAGGGATGCACGGATAGAGTAGCAAATGGCTTATTTGCTTTCCAAGTATTGCGCTCGCGCGCCAATCTTGCACAATTGGAGCGTATAAAGCCGACTCGACATCTGTCACGTACAAGAGACGTTACATATAAATATCCTAGGCAATAGTCCTGCTAAGGTATAAGGCTGTACTCGCACTAAAGACATACCGGATTGAATTTGCGTATGGAATTGTGTCGCCACAACGCTGACCGCTTTATTGGACGAAGCGGTAACTAGACATCTGTGGCCCTGTCCTATTAGCGCCGAAATGAGGGCCGCAATTGTCCTCGTTTTACCTGGCATCAGCCGAAATACAACTTGATTGAGTTTTCTCCTTCAGAGAGTTTTGACGGTTTCTGCGAAATGTCTACCTTTGTAGATCCATGCATACATATACGCAGTAGTTGGGTGATTCTGGGTATGTAACCCTCCACCCAACACTCCCCGCCCCCCTTCTCCTCCCCTACGTACGTGTGTGCATTTGTCGTGCCAGAGACAAACTACAGTTCATCCCTTAGAAACATATCGTTTGTAAACTATCCGATGTATGTGCCGTTTCATGTCAAACCAGAGAGTATTGTGAAGACAGCGTCGCCAACTACTTTGGCACATAAGCAATCCAAAATGCGCATAAGCAATCCAAAATGCGCATAAGCAATCCAAAATGCGCCTGAGCAATCCAAAATGCGCATAAGCAATCCAAAATGCGCATATTCTGTATTTGATTACCGGAATAAGATACAGCCGTATGGTATTGTCTATAATTCCCCAACATCAGGAACGGCCATATTTGCTAATAGTACGAGCTGACATTCCCTCGATTCAATAAAAGCAAGTAACATACTATGCAAGTAGCTATTTTGTAACATACTATGCAAGTAGCTATTTTGTAACTTACTATACAAGTAACTATTTTGTAACTTACTATACAAGTAGCTATTTTGCTACACGTATATACGCCTGGACACGCATGCATAGACGTATACCTACATTATCTAGGAAAAATACCCACATACATATGTGATACACCTGCATATGGTATATACAGATGAATCTAATCGTACCAATAGGTATATTTATAGACAGTTTCCAGAATGACATACAGGTCAGGATTCTCAGCGTGCGCTGAGAACCCAGTAGGTATATAATCAAAGACGATGATACCAGTACACGGGTTGCAAGAACGCACCAGCAAAGTGCAGATTAGATAGTGGTGCAAATCCCTACCTGTTCCCGGTGGTCCCTCAATACAGTGCACGACCGGATCAGTGCTTTGCAGAAACGGTGTGATCTGTGGGAGGAATGAGCGTACATGTATTGCGATTACTACGCTACACGGCCGATAGTTTGGTGAGAGGTGATGTATACTTATGCCTATTGGAGCTTTTAGGCCTGTGACAATCTCGAGAACAGCCAGGCATAGCACCAAACAATATCACAGCTGCACGACGGGAAGAAGTGTAGCTCCGAAACGCAGTAGTGTGTGTACGTGTGTGTGTGCGATGCGCTAGATGTGCATATATGTATTTATATACTCTTCCTATAGCTCGATTGTGTTGCACACAGCTGGATTTTCTCAAAACCTATGCACAATTTATGGAATTTGCCAATAATAAGAGGGTCCTATTATATAGCTCGCCAATCTAACAAGTAGCATAAAACTAAATACAACCTATATCTACTCGTCATTTCAGACCTGTTTGATGGTATATTCATCTTGCACATACCAACAACACATTACACTCGCTTTTCCCCGAACCAGCTTCTACTTCAAAGCCTGATCTGGGGTACAGCAATATCTACAAACAACAAAACAAACACGTTCAATCAGCCGACAACTGGGGTTGGTCTAGACACATACAGCACAAGAGCACCACCCAACCGATAGCTACAATACCAAAAAAAACCCCCACTGGACTGTACATAACATACGGCCTGTATCTGGGTGGCATTCAAGGTGGTCTTCAGTTGGCGTGTTGGTGTTGCTGAGACTGTGGACGTCGTGTCTCGGCTACCGATCGAGGCTGGCGGGTCTGTGTCGGAGATCGCAATACCTACCAAGGGGCAATGGATACAATACATATCTCAGGTAAGACTAGGTTGTGTTTGTATTGAACGTATATAGGTATGATGTATTTGTTCTGATTGATATATACCACGTTCGATTGAGGGTTATCTACCATGGGGTAGGTAAGGTGGGCTTCTTACCAGGTTTGTTTGAACACCATACATCACTATTGCACATACCTACAACATGATCCCATCACGTACACATATCTACAACATGATCTCAACACGTGTACATACCTACGACATGATCCCAACACGAACTGCATCCGAGTAGTTATCATGTCGGACGTAGGAAAAAAACCATCTTCTCTAGAATGAACTTTACACAAAAGTGATATGCTTTGTTTGAACAAGTATATACACGTCAGGTGCATCTATATCGCTCACGATTCGCCACCGTTACCAGTGGGCAGCAAAGGAGTTAGGAGCCGATAGTTTAGCTCAAATTAATTTCGTAGTAAAATATGATGTACACATACTTATCAATTTGCACATATAATACTATTTACATATGTAACTGGTCTGTACCTATCCATTTATGCATATGTTATTATATCTGTATGTAAAGTAGCCTACAATACATTTCCACCTACATTTTATACACATTTGTGAAATACTCAAATGATTTAAAAACTATATATATATAATATATATATATATATATATATATATATATATATAAGATTGCTTGTATATCTGGTACTGTATTGGCCTTTTACATATACATAATATAACTCACCTCCGGCACCCCGCAATAAGGAACTCAAAAAGGGAACATTTGATTGTCTGAGAGCCGCATCGTACATTCGTTGGTGGGACACCACAGACGTTCGAAGTGAGCACGCCTGTGCGTGAGAGAGTACAGGTGCTTAGGTACAGCAGTCCCCACTTCAACTGGTGTGGAAGGGGTGGCAGTTGCATAGGCACAAAAAATTGACACGCGTGTGCGTGGGTAGGCTAGAAAATGAGTGAGTATGCCTCTGTGTGAGCTGTGGCGAGTGTGCAGACACGCCAGCCTGTACAGATTGGGTGAGCCAATGCGATGTGTATAGAAACTGCCCAGCCCCACGATTTGAACGTAGGTAGGCACAGGAAGGGTCGGTTTATTCCTCGATCTGTGATAGGCAATGTGAGATATAGGAAACTGCCCAACCCCACGATTTGAGCGTAGGTAGGGATAAACAGGGTTTATTTATTCCTCCATCTGTGATAGATAACGTGAGATGTGGCGGAGGCATTCAAATATCAACGAATGATTCTCCCGGTTGTGGTTAGTACTCACAACTGATCCAATCATATAGTCGGTAATTGAATATATACTGGTCCGGGCCGCGATCAACTTCAGGCCTTGGGTTGTTCGGGATCGCTATCTTCACCCACTATGTATACCTTGTGCAGATACAGACACCGACAAGTGCTGCGTAGCATATCAACTAAAGATCGACCGAGAAATAAACGTACCGTGAAAACGTAAAGAGTACCTCACGCCGATGCTTTGACAAGACCACATCCGAATACTTGCGCTTTCAGTGACATTTAACATCCTAACGGGCGACGTTCCATTCTTATATACAAATAAGAGTGACTTGCATGGTAGGTATGTGCACATACAGACTAGGCTTGGCAACCGCTAGTCTCCACCCATATACAACAGTTGTCATACTTACCGATCTCCTGATGCCATCACGTTTAAGTTGGCCCAGGCATGTGTAACTCTGAGCACCGAAGGTGCATCACACACCCATAGAATACACTTGATATATGAAATTCCTATACCAATTGCGCGCATGAGTGCCAAACTTGAGTATTCCTTGTTCATATAGGCAAACCAGTATGGATATATAGGGAAGTAATAAAATAAACGTATGCTTATTTACTTTACCCGCCATGTGATACCACTCCCTTGGGTGATTGACGCGGCCAATTGGCGTACGACATCTGTGTCCACCTCTACTTTTATTCGGACGACAGAAGAGTTCCCAACCGGTCCACTTAATCCCTGTATGAGAAAACAGGTCAACAAAATTGAATCGGACTGTTAACAAACACTTGTATATACAAACCATGCAGTAAACACCTTACAGACAAAAACGAGTGATCGGGAATACATACGGTTATCGATATATACTTGTACTTGCAAATGATAGCAATGTCTCAACGAGGCATGTACGACGAGCATCTGAAGTACTTACAGAGTCATATTACACTGTACCTGTTACTATATATAGAGCATCGGGAAAAAATGTAAGGGAAGTTTCTCGCTAACTATCTGGGTTGAATAATGGGTGCATGGTTTGGTATCACACAAACGAGTCAGCGACATCAAATACAAAGTAGCAATGTATAACTGCCAGTCAATTGATTCTCACTGCTACAATGTCTCGACCACTACTTCCGGATCTCTCAATCGTTGTAGAGATGAAGTCTTGTGTCCGGCATACCGGTCCCATATAACGGACGGATGATATATAATCCCATTCGCACAGCGTATGATAGGCAGACAATACACAATGAAAAGGCAGTTTTTCCAACCAGACAATGTCAATATACACCAACCAAATTGTGTGCGGCGAGTTGGTAGTGGACATCAGAACACATCCACCAACCACACCTTACACGCCAAAGGCAAACCATGTACAACATGATGAACATATCCGACGGACGCACAGAGATAGTCCAACAAGGCAAGTCCAGCCAAAGGACTCTGTATAGCAACGCGATAGATATCTGTACACAGGTGGGAGTGTATGGCATTCTATTCTCCCTCTATCTTACAGCCCTATGCGCAGAGCAAAGGTACAGTATACAGATTCATGCTGTGAATCGTAGAGCAGCAACTGTTTTGCAAACAAGGTAGTGGACGCGACTGATCACTTTCATGGGTATATATTGGCACGTACGTCTATTGCACTTACTGTACACCATTCACACTCTCCTGCCGTGTCACTGTAGCGTTCTAGTGTCTTTGAAACTAGACGCGTTTACAAGGATATTAATTACCAGAATATTGAGCTTGTTCCCCAGACGCAACACCACCACTGAGTGGCTCAGCGCAGCACAGTCAGAGCCGTTTGCATACGTTCGTTCCATTTTAAACCCTAAAGTAGTACCGAACATCCCCTGCTGTACATCGACTAGTTGTAAGGGAATGTTCTCCTGTGTCGAGGTGAGCCAAGAGATAAAAACTTTTATTTACACTGCCGTGTCATTCTTAGCGAAACGGGATATAGTACGCAAAGTAGAGCCCTAATTCTTTAAATAAGACCCAATTCCAATTCCAATTCTAATATATACATACAAATTAAAT